AACGTTAGCGTTAATGTTCGTGGTAACTGAAATTGAAAAGGCTGCATGGTTGTTTTTGAATTTCTCCTAAACTAAGAACCCAAAATGAGATAAGATTAGAGAAACTACCGGTACATGTACATGTACATGTACCGGTAGGTATCGGCACCTTTCCATTCCAAGAATATGGCTAATACATGTGTACACATGTATGACAGCACTTGGTTTTGGATGCAAGAAATTGCCCCAGCATACAAGACCATCGACAAAAAAACCCAGAAACAAAAATCACATAACAAAAAAAAAGTTAAAACAACAATGTAAATTATACAGCAGTTAATTAAAAGAATGACTGGGAAAGTACATGTACCATATTAGCAGGATAACATACATACATGTACATACATGGAATGGTGCATTAAATTATAAACTTCTAACATGTACATGTACATTGTGCCTCTGCAAACATAATAAAAGTACTGATGCTAAATTTAATCGGTCATATTGACAATCACGAATGTACATGTACCGGTAATTATCCATTCTTAAAAGGGGGCCAAAGTCCTGTCTAGGAAGATAATTGTTAACTGATTTGTAACCTCTTGTTGGTGAGACAGTTTAATTCTACCAACTGTCAATCAAAATCTCATTATTACAAAACATACTGAGAAGTTGGTGCAGTGTGGTTACATGTACAGTGTATGATCATTAATGAAGACAAATTTATATCCTCGATCAACAGTAAAATTATTTGAACACTATTTGCAAAAGCTGACATTTTTCTGGACGTACAGGTACATGTATATGTACATGTACAGTCCTGCATGTAAGGTACATGTACACTGTATGGTACACAGCCATGACGGACACAGTGATGTAATTTACAATGTACATGTATGCACGCGTGACCCAATCCAACCCAACAAAATGAGTCACAAATTGTACGGTGCATTACGGTATGGTACAGGTAGAATCTTGCACAAGTGATATCTTTAACCCTTTTCACCAAAATGCTCAACAGAGATGAAAACACTTGAAATGTTTTTTTTTTCTCTCATGCAAAATAAACAAAATTAAAAACGGTGTTAATTCAGAATCATTTAAAGGGATCCAGAAACATATTTCATTTCAAGTACATGTGCAAGTACACATGCACTATGTTCCCAAACAATTGTAGACGTTAATCCTCCTTCTGCTGTAACTGTCAAAACCAGTCCAAAATTCTTTCCACTTGATTTGCCCCTGTACATACATGTACATGTATGGGACATTTGACTGATTTTGACTGATATGACAACTGTGTCAAGAATGTATCTTTGTAAAGGAGGGTTAAACAAAAGAATTAATTACCGTCCACGATTCCTCAAAGGTCCACAATTGCCAAACGTGTACAAAACATTCCAAAAGAGTACGAACAAAAGAGCTAGACAATAGGAACGTCCACGACTGCCCAAAAAACATGTTTCCCTGTAGGTACATGTGTAAGTACACATGTACATGTACTAACATGTGCCCGTACACAAAAGTTTACCTGTACATGTACATGTACACTTGTACATGTACCGCATGTGACCAGCTAAAACAAAAGTAAATGTACTACAAAATGAATAGATCTTCAATGCATTTTTTCAGTAATTTCTTTTCGCATCAAAAGAACATTCTCAGTTCTTTATCTTGATTCAGTCTGGGATCTTACTACATCTAAATGCTGTGGGTGAGAATGTACCGGTAATGCTTAGTTTTCGTTTTGGCTTCCATCATACAGGAAATTATTCCAATATTTGTAACTCGGATCGAGCTCTCCTACAGATACATGTACACTGTAACCAGTGACTCCTGATGATCTGCTGGCACGCAAAACACTTGTAAAACTGAAAACTACGGGTACTTGTATGCACATGTACAAGTATACGTGTACATGTATGTACGTGTACCAGTCCATACGTGGATGAACAATGCATGTATACCGGTACATGTATCCAACATGCATATGAACAATCATTTGATTTCAAAGTTTAACACCGATCACGTTTCCTCAATGTGACATCAATGCTTTACGTCATAAATTGTTCCCAAGTTCACTTCCGTAACACAAAGACTGGAATAAGATGAAGAAAGGCAGCGAGATTCTACAAACTGCAGCCATTAATGACACGTCACACTCCCCCATTTTAGAACTGTCTTTCACTTTACAAACAATTCAGAGGGAACAGACCTTAGAACACACACACACTGATCCATGCCAAAAGCTTAGGAGTAAAAAAAGTTCGTATATTTCTTCCATCTCCCCCCCATGAATTGAATTTCACTGTTGCCATCTTTCCCTTCGCCTCCCCCCCCCACACATACCCGGTACATGTACACAGGAACTGTGGCTGTAACGGGAAGCCTGCAACCACCAATGAATAGTTTTTGACCCTCATCGCCATAGAAACTAATTACTCTTGTTACTATGGAACCCCCGCACTGCAACGTCCAAGGAGCACGGAGGAGCGGGGGAACATGTATAGAATTAATAAGCGGTCACATATTATATTACAATTGGTCAGGATAGATCGGCGACGGAGGTGCGCATGAATAGCAGGTGTTTATGTGATGAGGGGTGTAGGAGGAATAGAGGAGAAGTGTGGCCGACAGACTGAGGGGAAGCCATTCAGCAAATATGCTTGTTTTCACTACAGTCACTGCTTCCTGCCTTTTGGGGTCAATGGAGAGTGCTGTCAGAACTAACCGATACACAGAAAATGCAACGTCCTGTATGTTTTTCCTCCTTCGTGTCACAAAAGGCTCTTTGTCGAGTCTTACATAAATGATAGGGGCCCTACACAACAGCTGTTCCTCACTGGTATGACGAATTATATTCAGGATGCAAGCAGACAACAAGGTTTAGCAATTCTCTTCCCCAAATGTACCGGTATGCCGGTAGTCCTACCGTCTAAACATATCAGAAAAAAATGGGAGACAAACTCTCATGTGCATGTAACACTAAAGTCCAGAAAGAAAATTCTGGATGGATGTGAGTCAGTGGTCACACTGAGAACCTGCACTCAAGTGAAGCCCTGTTTTAAAAGTGAGAGTCTCACAAGTACCGGTAGATGGATCACTTCAACTCTCTCTTTTTTGTTTCATGTTTGAAACATCAACTTACATGTACTGGTACCGGTATTTCAGGTTTTTGATGCCACTCTTGGGGTACATGTATCTTTAACGTAAGCCATACATACATGTTTGTTCATACTTTTAATGGTACATGTGTAATGTATTACATGTACATGTAAATGTACTGTAGGTACCCGTACATGTACAGATGGGTGAGGGTACCTGTACATTGTGATTGCACTGGTACCCTGTACATGTATGTGTTCTGTACGGTACATGAAGCTTCAACAACTTTCCTTGTAATTACTGTTGTCACTGATACATGTACTGGTCCCACATGCATACCATGAGAAGGTACAAATGTGTACGTGTTAACAAAGTTTTCAACAAGATTTTTTTCCAGCTTAAATTCATTACTGAAAACAACATGGCACAACATTTCTGTGGGTGACTAATATCATCTCACTAGATATCCAGGGCACGGTCTCAAAAAGTTGGGATTAGTAAATTTTTTGGAAAGCTACTTAATCAACAAGTAAACATTTGTCAAGTGAAGTGAGGACGTCACCGATGCACCAATCTTGCTGCTTCCAATCTCCAATCATCCAAGGACATACCATATAAATGTTAAGAGGTTCAACCTTTTCCATTCAACTCACGCATGACCAAATAAATGGAAAGAACAGCCGGCGAAAACCAAGAGCTCTCCATCTTTACATGACATGTACCTAGATACATGTACCTACATTGTATGTTCTAGCGTGTGTACGCATAGTGCATATCAAGTTCTGTATGACGTCATACAACCACATTAACTGATGACCAATTAGGCACACTCAAGGTACAGTATCTGTTTACATGTGAAACCTCTGTAAAACCTATACAAGCACACGTACGTGATAAAAAATAAATCATACAAATATTCTTTTTTTCAATGCATGTAGTTAATAAATAATTTCCTCTCAAAGCTACATGTACATACCGTACATGTACAGTACATGTACATATATGTACCCACGATACCACTTTGGAGTATCAATCATCAATTAAAGTAAATGGTGGGGGGGGGGGAAATGTTCCCTCTGAATGTTATGACTGGATTTGCATGTATATTTGAAGTGACACCTGCCAGACAGTTTACAGAGCTGAACCTGAGTCATTCACTGTGAATTGTAAAAAATGTATTTTTTAAGACCACAAAGGGTCGAAGAGATAATCCGTGCATACTGAATGCCCTCATCTTTTTTTTTTAAAAGCACATAACAACCCAGGCATTCACAAACTATGAATTGAAGCGTGCAACTTTGAATTCATTGCTGATTCTGCAGTTCAAAAATTACCTGCGTTACAATTTTTTTTTTAAATTCAATTTTAACTGACGCTGAATTCAAATTCATCCCTTTTTTATTGTTTATCATTCTTGAGAACTGTTTATTTTGCACTTTTTCATTTTGTTACATTGTAATTATTCTTTGTTAACCCTAACCCCTTGAGTGTACCAGTATGTACTTGTAAAATAATATTGAAATCAGAGGATTTGGGACTGTTAGGGATAGCTGTATTTAAAAGAAAAATATGGCGACTGTATTTTCATCACGGGTATTACTTAGGACTCCTTTTTTGCTTTCTTGTTTAAGACTGCTGGAGACAAGTCTCTAAACATTTGTCCCCCAATGTGTACATGTAATTTTGAAAAAGTCCAAGCAACTATGGTGCAACGTACATAAGCAGGACCAATTTTCATCTGAATGGATATAACCTCACATCTTCACCTAATAAGAGCACACTTGAGCATGTGCACACACTGTTAGGGGCACTCAAGCATTCCCCAATCCCCCCCTCTCTCATTGTGCGCTAACCCTTCAGAGATACTTGTGCGGAAGGTCCACAGGGAAATGGGCTAGGATCTGTCAGCTTTGTACCTTTTTGTAGACAATGTGGTGGGGATGATGACTGCAAGCGCTGTCCCCGTCCTCTTCCACGCCATTGACCCTCCGCCAATGAGCCATCCTCAACGTGACAGTGATACTCCTACTTCCCGACAGACCACACCCCAAGACAGAGGGTTAAACACTGGTGGTAGCATAGGTCCACTAAACGGGAAGGGAATAAAGAGACAAAATGTGATGTAAATGTCAGCTGACAGACTCTCATACCACATTAGCAGTGTGAGATTAATGAACCACATTAGTGCTGTGTTCCAACCACACTATGCATGGATACGTAAAGCCACCAAATACATGTATGTTTCACAAGTTGAATAGTACCTCCTCTTCACACCAGCTAGCAAACAATGCAACCAGACATGCCCTGCGTGAATGCAGAAAAGAATATTTAAAGCAAACTATGAGGAGAAAAATGAGTATGCTCCCCAATCCATCTTACATTGCATTGTACATTCATCTACGAACAACGGCAGGTTTTACCCAATACTTTTTTAGGTTTTTAGTGACTGGTTGATTCCACGCCAGACATTTACATGTACCATGTATGCATCAGTAACTACCTTTACATAAGAAAATTAATAGAGATTATGCATCTTCGGTAGCCTGAATAAATTTGTTATATACACCCGTATGTAACCTACACAATGTTCTTGTACATGGATCTGGATGAGCAATGAATTCCATGTAAGGTTTTCATGTTACCAATAGTGTTTGATTTCTTCAAAATACAGTATTTGCATAGCAATAACTGTGATACAACATTTTGTTTGCATAGCAACTGCTTTATTTTGTGTAGCACTTTTTTCACAATATAACAGCACAAAATCACTGAATATTCATATAAAAGAAAACAATAAAACAAAGAAGTCTTCAACAATACTTTTTCAAATAATTTTCAGAACAATTGGGATCCTAGTCTGGGGTCAGGAAATTTTTAAAGTGGGTAAAGTAAGCATAAAGTACCTGAAAATAGGGATAAAAAAAAGCCTGCACACAGGATCTGCCTAAAACTGCTGCACATGATGAACATCAACGGCTAAACACACCCGAGTATCCTGCCAGGATCAACAGGAACAGGTTCAACAGCATGTATTATGAAGGTTACAGTACTGTACCAGTACCGGTTCGGTATTTAACAAAATAAAGTTTTTTCAACAAATGATTTGGCAACAAGTCAAGTAAAAGTCAGTGTGCAATGTAAGGGGACTCTCAAATTTCTGTACAATCTGGTAGTACATTCATGATGCACTGTGCTGTTCACTGTACATCGATATTCCTTACAACCAAAAGCCTAAGTACCATTTGTCAAAAAACGAAACATCCATCACCTTTTTTATTCTAGCCCTGGAGTGTAAACTGAACTTGGTCTCACTCTTCCATTAATTACTTTTAACTTTCAAATTCAACTTCCATTTGAAATGTTCAGAATTTAAGCTTAATGCAATGTCCAACTCTGAGACATGAAAAGATGACCACGTGTTGTTAGTCTATCGTGTGAATACCGGTACATGCTTCATGCACACCGTGCCCAGAGCTGGAAATGCATGCCGCACCACTCGCGTAACGTGTGACCATTACTGGTTCCCCACTTTGGCTATCTCAATGGGAATGAATGAAGTGAGCTCCTCACGGACTCAATTTCTGCATATATGTGTATTTCAAAGGATGATGTGGCCGCTGTATGATATGTAAATCAAATCATTGTTTCAAGCATATTACGGCATGAAGCCCTGTGCATTTTGCATCTCATGATGTACAATTTATTTTAGAAAGTGCAAAAGCATTTGGTCAACTTTGTGTCACAAAATGCGATGCGATACAAGGGAAATCGAACACTGGTTACCTGTAGTTTTTCAAACATTGAGTAAACCACATATCTAGAAATTGTGTTCATGTAACAACATGTAGACAATCAAGCAGTGTGTACACAAAAAGTATATTCTTCCACTAAGTTTTGATGGTCTAACTTTTGTCAACAACAAAATCAACTTTTATACAGCCTATAAACATGTACATGTATGTTTAGAAGAGATTGTCGATTAAAAACAGTAGAATAAACTCTTCCATGGTTTAAATTCCATATAATTTGAATAAATAAACCAAGTACATGTACATGTACATCTCGTACATTGTAGGACTGAAAAATTATAAATAAGGAAAGACACCATGAAATATCACATGATTTGACACTGAGCATTACATGTACGAGTAGACCAAGTCTGAAACTGAGCTGAGAAATGCAAGTTTCTACAACATCACGAACATTTTTCAAATTTAGGCCCTCATTAGAAGAGGCCATTATTGTAATCATACAAGTACACGTATACAGAACAATGTTTGTTTGTAGTTTAAATCTTAGGTTTCTTTTTCTCAGTAGCCTTTTGAATTGTTTTTACGTGGCCTTAACTCTACCATTCCATGTTGAAAGCAGAGGCAGTCACAGATTTTGTAAACAAGCAAAATGCTAGTGCCCTTAATTTATGTCTTCCCTTTTTAGATACCGGTATATTCACAGGAAAGAATTTCATATACGGACGCTGCTTGACACCCTATGCACAAACCCTTTGAGACAGGTCTAAAAATTCTCTCAAGTGTTTTCTAAGTAAATTCTTCCATATTTTCAATGCTAAATTTGACTTTTTAGGACATTAGAGGGAAACTGTGTGGGGAAAACAGTGTGTACACTGCACAGTATGGAATTCTTTCCTATTCACATATTTTACTTACATTCACCTAGCCTACGGTAAGCTGGAAACCAAACTTTATGACTCAAATCATGCGAAGATTTGCCAGTAGATCTCACATCATGAGCAACAGCCTAGGGCTGGATTTCCCAACTGGCAAAAGTTCCAAAACGATATCCCGCTGGAAGCCTTATTCTGATTGGTCCATATTTATGACATCACTGTTGCTGACAATATCCGTTAATAGCTACCAAATTTAACACTTAATAAGTCTGGTAACAATGTTGACACTAGTGGAGCTCTCCATCAGAACACATAGTCACTGACACAGGTGCCCACTCACAATACATTCTCATGTTATGAAACTGATGATAGAGCCTTCTAACGTAAGGGGGGAGGCACCACGATGCCCAAATTTTGTTTCAACAAACTTCCAATTTCCTGACAAAGCACACTTCCCCCCAAAAGACAGAAAATCTCACACTGACATTCTTCAAAGTTGATGAAATCTAGAACTGTCATTATTTCTCTCACACGCCCAACTTCAAGTATGAAGAAACTTATTCCACTTTTGGGGGACACATCTTAAAAGAGTTCAGTTTGCACCAAAAAACAAACGGAAAATGGGACTGAATTGACATTTCATCAATACTTTGAACGGGAAACAGACATTTGAGATTTACACACGGAAATACTGGAGCTTCATCAAATTTCACTTATCCCTAATNTTTTTCTGAGGTATGCCAAACCCAATGCAAATGCCAGCTGTTATAGGCCTACCAGACCTATACCCACAGAATTAAACACTTTACTACTGTTTAATTTTGTGTGGTTGGGGAAGGTTAAGGTTATTGGGAAAATAACTGAGGTGAAAATATTGCTCTTCGTCTTACTATTAGTTGCAAAATAAATGCGGGCCACGTTAGGGTACATGTATTTCAACAGTGACTGACATCATACATTTGGACTAATGAGAAAACACAAATACCGGCAAAATATTATTTTGGAACTATTGCCGGTGCCTGAAAAAAAAACACTGCCTTTACAATAAGTTATAAATATTTACCCTCAGTGTCACTGCTCTGAAGTATAAAATTGAAATAACTATAGGCCTAGGCCTTTTCTATATTTCTTCCCCAAAACCATGAACACAACAGGCAACATTTATCGCGCTTATCGAACTTATAATGATGTCCAAATCTCGGGAAACTTTCGACTCATTTCCATTGGGTACATCCTGTTCTCGTCGTAAAACAGAAACTCTGACAAGTTATTACGGCCCGGACTAGACCGCCTGATGAATTACTCACGCCATGCCAAGTACGCACGCCGCATATCGGCGCAGCCGGATTGACGGACTTGGCACGCACAGCTACACATTACGGTCAACTCGGCTGTACACGCAGATTTCATACCGATTCACCATACTTACGATAAAATCCGCAATATTTGACAGATAAATCCACAGCAGAACACTCATTCAGTTGACAGCTATCTGTGAGGAAACTTGCAATAAATTCCAAATGGGTTACGGCATTCTGAAATAGTGGAAAACAGGATTTTTTTCTTCACGTAAAATCCCCGGGCCTCAGCTCGCCTGTTTTGCTTTTCTCGAAATTTAGTCTGGTCGACCGGGAAGAAAAAAGTGCACATAATAAACAGTTTTCTAAATAAGAGTTCCCTCCAAGACAGGGTACTAGATTTACCAGACAGTTGTAAGCCGGAACCATTTTATGCAAAGGGGTGTTTGATCATATAATCGAAGACAAACAAATGATGGCGCTAGAGACTTCTGGCGTTACCAGCGAAGAAAACTATTGGAGCAAATGGTCACAATGTCGTACTAAGCACACCCACGGAAGTTACAGAGGCAAAAGACTCAAATAAAAGTCATAACTTCAATTTTTGTCGGTGCCTGTTACCAGCCTGATGAGTGTCCAGCCGGACGGTAATTCTCATGACATCCAGAATTTCCCGTTAGGGCTGGAGTCGAGGTTATCTGGTACTTCAGAAAAAACTTTAAAACATCAGAGGATAAAAGAAAAGGGAAAAAGGTCAATGACCACTGGCAATACTAAAGGAGAACACGCCCCCTCCCGCTAGAGACCAAGACCTCAGTGATTCCGAATCCTGTGTTCACATGTAGTGTGCTTCTTACCTTAAAAATATACACGTGGGGACCAAAAACACGGGGACAAGTCCCCCCCCCAAAAAAAGCATACACTTGCCCCTGCATAAATGTTGTGGTGACTAAAAATGTCACAATTGGGTCTTACTTTGGCCAATAGTAAAAAATTTCCCTGTAACGCGAAGGAGTGCTCACCCTTGCACACACACACACCGACAAGCAAATATGCTGTAAACGAATGTTCATACAAAGACATTTATTTCATCCCCAAACTTCGGAGGAAGACTTAGCAACTCTAGGTAAGTGTTACTGTTACTGAACTGAGGTACTCTCAGAGTTTTAAAGCACTTTAAAGGACATGTTTCCAGGGGACACAAATTTTATTTCAGCAAAACATAATATAATTAGTAGTTTTACCACTTTTGGACTCGTCAAAACTCTAAATACAGTTTTAATTCTGCTTACGTTCTGCTGCATTGCACACTGAGTGTGACTCTACACTACAGCCCTTTCCACAGGGAAGAGGTTAACCAACTAAAAAAGTACTACATTAAAACAAAAAAACCTGGAAAATTTCTCTTTTTGGTGAGTTGACAAAGTCATTATTTGGAGGAGTGGGGCTGGACGGGTGGGGCGTACCCAATTACAACTCTTACCCTGCCAATCCACCCCACCCTTGTTGCACTAAAACACCTGTCTCACCCATAACTTCATTTCTGCAACCTACACATTTTTTCAAATGTATTAATAATGTCTTTTCATGCACTCAAGTTACAGTTACTAAGGAAACACAAATATCTTAAGACTTCCTGGCCTCTAAAATGTAATGCGAGCTTCTGAGGTCCCGTATTGTTAATTTATTATTCCCTGTCAATATCTTTTTTCTCACCCCTTGTGTCCTTGAAACTCCATCAAGTCAATTTATGTGAACAGTCAAGACAGAGTTTGCAAATAATTGGGCTTTCACAGGTTTAGGAATGAGCTAGTAATGTATTTCAACAGCACATGCCTAAACCAAAGGTCACTGCAGAACATCAACATGCACCTGTGAGGTCGGCGGATTCCCCCCCCCCCTTCCAGCTGTTTTAGGGTTAACCTGGTGTGATGTCTCATGCTTTTTTCTTCAATAACATTGCTTTTTGAAATACCAAACTAGCTCAGTCTCTTTCCACAAAAACGGATGAGGCCTTGATCAAACCTTCAAATAGGGATGTACAAGCAAAGTTTCTTGTGACTATTGCCTCGTTCTCGCTGATTTTTTTGGAGGGGTGGGGGGTCAGTTAAATTCCACCAGTTAATGTCGGATTTTCTCACTCGAAAAAGCAGCTGCGGCATTTTTTCCCCTGCAAATTCTTAAAAATTGCAACTGCAGACATGAAAAAGGAATTCTAGAATGAATGTACACGTCCTCCGTGGAACATATCAGAAAAATTGTGTGTTTACACAGCATCCAACATCAAGTAGTTAAAGCCAGATATTGTGCGTTAAAGTCCTAAACCTGAGCCAGCTTGTGATGCTTCTCCCATAAGCTCACAGAAAGTACAACACTAAAGAGTATGAAATTTTGTTTGCAAAGTGCAAATCCAACTTTTCAAATATAGATCTCTTCAACAACAAAGAATTCCATCGACAGCTCCCTGACGACCCACAGAACACCCAACTCCCTTATGTACCTTCCAACACACCAAATCTCTGGACAAGGCATCGCCAAAATTGAAGAAGATAATTTAAAAGCTCTTTGTCTTTCTCTTGTGTCTTCACATGGAATTGAATGCAATAATTTTACACTGATTAAAACGCATGCACCATCTTTACTCCAAAATACTTCTCATATTAAACGTAACTTCATGGTCGCCTCCCACTGTCCGTATACATTATATTCTCATTAGCTTTTTGTTTACAGTAAGATTATGTAACATAACTGGCACTGAGATTAAAAAGACAATAACTCTTTTGTACAAAGTTGCAATTACATGTATTCTTATTCAGTAAGTGTATTTATCTGTCCCGCGGTGACTCACAATTTGCTTGAATTTGCTCACTTTTTGCAAAGCACACAACTAATCTGCTTTCAATTTACATAAACCTGCTCTTAAAAAGTAGGATAAAAAAGGCATAAATTTAGACTTTACAATCAAGGATTAAAAATATTCTATTACACAAGTAGGTTTAGAGATCTCTCAATATGTTTTCATTCAGCTGCTTCCTAATCCAAACTGCACATTTACATCAATCAGTAAAAGCTTTCCAGCAGTCCAAAGAAACCAGAATGCTTGACTGACAAAAAAAAAAGTATTTCAGCACCGGTTTGATTAAAGCTGTTTTGCAGACAAATGTAGCAATTACAATGAGAAGATATCGTACTTGGGAGCAGGATTCATGCACACACACAGGTTTATGTTATATACCCAGAGTGGAAATTCCTGTTTTCATGCATGCCCAGTTTTCTGTAACCATGGAGACCATTTGAAGCTGGGTTTCTTTTGTAAGGTTTCTCCGAATGCTCCTTTTCCTTTTGCGACTTAGCGGTTTAACCCTAACCCCCAAATGCCTCTTACAATCTTGTTGTGAGATGGGGAAATGTTCTTTGGACATGGGTAAGTCCACAGAATATCTTTCCTCCCTGCATCGTGTTGACATCGTTTATTAATGAGTCCATACTAGGTATGTAAGGATGGTACACCATTGACACCCCCCCCCCATAAATGAGCCTGAAAACTACAAAATGTGCAACCTGTTAGCCCTGTCAGTGACAGCCTCAAATTTTCGGGTGCCCAGATAATTCTACAACTGCATTCCAAGACCAGCTCAATGCATGCTAAGCTTTAGATTTTTTTATGTCAACTAAGATTCACAACTTTTGGGGGACATAAATTTTACAGCTATATACATGTACATGTATATGTATCAGTCTGTTTTGGGACACCTCCCATCCTTGACAAATACTGGCCATTACAATTGTTTCTGCAAATTCTCAGAAATTTTTCAGTCTTAGAAAATTTATGAAATCACAAGAATATGTTGGTTGGAGGGTTTCCCCTCAGAAATTAGAACACCAAACTTCCATAGCAAGATATCATTTTGCTTTTTCAATTATAATTAAATCATATAATTGGCACTAATTTCTAGTCAGACAAGAAGCTATCAAGGTTAGTTTCTTATTTACTCAGAGTTCTTCCCTCAGTCAAATTAAGCGTGGCTTTAGAAATAAGGAAAAACAAGCCATTTGATATCACACATTCACTTGAACAAAACAAAGGCTCACTCAAATTAGTTAGAAACTGCACATAAAAATTGGCATAGTGATTTCTTGCAATCAAAATATAAATAAGCACCATAGCATTTCCCGATAGATTAAAAAGTAAATGTTACCAGAAATACGATGAGAATAAATTTATGTCCAAATCCTGCCGACTAAACTTTCATTTTGTCATTAGTGTATGCACTTTCAATGACAACTCCATCTAAAACTAAATAACTTCAAAGAATTTTCCAAAATAATGTTGTACCATTCTAATGCTCCTATGTTAGTTGGTTACCATGTACCATTCTAATGCTCCTATGTTAGTTGGTTACCATGTACCATTCTAATGCTCTCATGTTACTTTGTAACATGCCAATGCTAGATTTTATACACAACACACATTCACCACATCTTCCAAAGATTTTTGCTTGGATCCTTCTCCAGTACCTCTGGATCCTCCACTATGCAGGAAACTGATGACACTTTTTGGTCTTAACCTCTCCAAGGTCCCATTTAATGTAGACGTGGGTACGAATGAGGTGAAATGGTGGCTTATCATCATCTATTCTGACAAATCGTCCATGGCAAAATTAAGTGTCAGGGATCCAGGTCTGAGAGAGTTAAGTCATGAATATGATCTGTTAACCTAACAGTATCTGCTACTAATGCAGTGGTAGTCAGCTTGGTGAAGTGGATCTCTCCTCGCATTTCACCTCTGTGGGTCCAGGATTTATGCTCAGCTAGGTCCACAGGTGAATTTTGTTTTCGGTCCCTACCTGATGCTGTGGGTTGTTACCCAAAATATTTTTCTGGGGTTTTCCTCCCACCTGTAAAACTGTAACTGCTTCTCAGTGTCTCCCCTTGACAGGTTTCTTCAACCTTGCAAGCTACAGTGGCCAGGGCGCTTATTCTATATTTCAGAATGGGCAGCCTCTTTCCTGTATATTTCATTCACTGAAAAAGTGTACAGCTTGTGTATGGTTTGAAAACCCTTGCCTGCCACTCATGAATAAACAATGGTGTGAAAGCCAGAACCACTAACATCAGGCGCAGGCCTGCCTTTATTTCCGGTCATGAAATAAAAAATAGTTTTAAAGTGTACCGCTGCACCCTACAATTTTCAGCATTCTTTTGTCTGGCTGCTACACTCAGCAAGAAAAACGAGCACTATTTTGTAAGGTGTTTAACAATCTCATTCTGTGTACTTTCTTCTTTATAAACTCACCCTACTGTAAATCCACCAACAGTATTTTGGAAAGTTTTTAGCGGAGGGGGTAAGAGACAAAAGGTTCATTAAGTTTCCAGCCTTGCTGAGGGCTATTGTAAAAGGTCCATTTTCCTGTATTAGCTGAAATGAGGTTTCAGTGCAAACATTTTCCATGAAAACTATCAGCACAACAGGTAGAAAAGGAAAAAAAAAATTTCAGCCACACTAAGTGAGTGATGGATACTGATTAAAGAAAAAAAATGGTCAGTAAATCCTCAGTACTATGAGACAGGCACAAAAATTGAATTGGTGGCCGTGCATTAATTGGCCAAAAGATGAGCCTTACAGAAAAATGATTTCAGCTATATGTGGTCACTGGCAAAAGCACAAACATCGACTAAATACTTTGAAGACATAAACACAAGACTTGCTATGCATGAGGGGGCCGAAGTCTTGAAATCCTCCTACATGTTCTCTGCTTCAACAAAGAGGCGAAGATATGCCACGCTGAGGGGAACACGTCTGGAGAGGAAATGAATGAAGCTAGCTGGTACACCCTTGCCACCTATGCAGACCTGTGCCAGAAAAACAGTCAAAATATTTCGCCATTTTATTTTGATTGGATGGTGCTGTTGACTCCCATAGGTAGCAATACTTGTCAGCCTGCCATCAATCAAGGGCTTCGGGGCAACAGGCTTTTACATAATAGCAATATGAATTTCTGCAATGTGACTGATGGGTTACCGATCATGTGTAATGACTTATTTGGTATAACCGCTAGCATACCATTGATCAAACCCTGTTTAATATACAATTGTAGGCGAGAGTAGGGCTACTGGACCACTTAGGCACATTTTTTATTCTAACCATATTCAATAATCCAGGAAAAGGATAAAACTACTATTAAAACATGACCAAAACACGTATTTGTTTATTGCAAACAGCTGAAATCAATAACATTAATAAAACGTATGAACTCATTAAAAATTCATGTAAAAGTGGACCACTAGCCCCACACCAGGGGCAAGTGGACCACATCATAAAACCTTAAAGCTTGCCACCAACAGGGTACAAAATGAATGGTGGAATGAGTAAATTGATAATAAAACACTGAAATTGGCAATCATAATTATCTCAGAAGCACCAGCGTTCAATTTAAAAAATTAATTAGAAAATTCCTCTACCTTTCCTCCAGTCAGGTAATTTCTGGATTTGGGGATGTTAAGGTAAGTACGGAGTTGCTTGGTTTAGGCATTTTTATCCTAAATCATGATTTGAAGTTTATTTTTCAAGTTTATTTATATTTTTCACTTAGGCCTCAATTTATGTTCAGCTTAGTCTCTGAAAAACTAAATAGTTGTTTAAACGCAACTGGTCAATTTCATAACCTTTTAATTTAATTTGGTCTAAGAATGTGCCAGTTGCCCCCGATGACCCACTTGTCCCATCCCTCCCCTATTCCATGTGTGTGCAGTAAGCATAGTTGTGGTTCTCCACGAATAGAAAAAAACCTGCACTGCCTTAATTGCGCACACAAGGCTAGATAACATAATTGTTAACAGTTATGGTTTTCTGGAGTTTAGAGTGTCAGCGCCCACGCAAAGCAGTCTCTCTGTTCAACTGAAATTGTAAAACTGTTCATATTTGAAGAGATCATAACAATGACAAGATTAGACTAGACCTCAAGGCCACTCAGTAACACCCTGATTGAGTGGTTCATCAGCCAAACCAGAATCTTGGACTGCAGAGCCAGTCTTTGGTTTTTAAGCAGGGAAATCCTCTCTGCAAATTCAACGCTTGAGATGATAACTTTTGTAACAAAGGCCTACAAGGATTCCTGGAACTCATTGCACTTGACAGTTCTCTCAAACAAAGAGGGGAAAAAGATCTGCCAATCAGCGGATATGATCACTTGGTTCAAATGTATCAACACAATCAAATCAAACTGACAATCCACAAAAAGCCCCACAAAATGCCACATGGCAAATTGCAGGTTTGTTACACCGAGTAACATTTTTTAGCCACAGCACGTTGTGCTGAATACCTACCACAGATCAACACTAAACCATGCTCTCAAATATTTCCCCACTTTACACTTGCTGTTCTTGATGCTTACCTGTGCTATGTATGTAACCATGGAGAACTTAGACCCTCTGTTGTCAACAATGGGTTCGATGACCCAACCACTAGGTAGAACGTGGGCTCTAGGGATGGCCTCTGAGGGAGGGCACTCTGCTACATTTGCTGACGTGAAGGAGACAATGTGTGACGAACCCTAATGGATGGAAGGACATGAATTATCTACATAGGAAAGCATATTTTCTTTTACCTCTATTTTGGTGGTTCCACTTACGCCGGCTCAATCTCCCTACATCTGGGCCCAATTTCACCGTGCTGCTTACTGCAAGCAAGAAATTGGCACTTACCGTAGCAGAAAATTCTGTGCTTATGGCGAACGTATTGCAGGGGTTAGCAAGGAATTTGGGCTTGAGCGCATACATACATCCCATAACTAAGGATTTTGTGCATAAAGAGTTAGCGCAGAATTTTTCTGCTGGCAGTTAGCACAGAATGGAGATCTTAAGCACAGAATTCTGAGGTAAGCAGCGCCATGAAATTGGGCCCTGGGCTCTTACAGCTCTTACCAGGGTTGGTTGGTCTGCTTACAAGGTATGTTTTCTGCTCTTGTTTTACTCAAAAATAAATTTTAGTTGTATAAAAAATTGTACGAAAAAACCCAAGCGTCAGATTTACTGTCCTTGTTCAAAACTCTACCAGTTATGTGCAATTGTACATTTCAAAAAGTGTCCATCCAGAATCGCAACTTGCCCATCCAAGGACAGGTGGATGGGTCATTTGATGGGACCTTGTCTGTCAAGGGTTCAAAGTTCAGAGACAAAGTGCTGGTAGGAACCTAAGACAAGACACCATTTTCTCAATGGTGCGACTGGTTCAGTGCACATGGAAACATAACATGCACATGTCAATTCTCACACTTGGCTCATAGGTTTTACAATGAATGAGAATATATCAGCCATAATTGACATGACAATTTTATTCCTACCTCAATTTTGCTGCTTTGAAGCAGGCAGAAATCCCTAGATTCCTTCCTCAAAAGCTGAGGGACCTCATGGACTGCATGGACTACAAACACAAAAAGTACCAGAATAAAAGAAATTGTTCAAAAAAGACAGATGTTGGGGTCCAACTTTCAAAATTTGGAATATTCCATGAAGAGATACATGTTGCACACTCCAGAAGCTGACTGAAGTATCAAATTCAAAAAACGAGTCATGCATCTGGAAACAAAACCCATAATGTGAGGTGTCATTTATTACATGCTGGAGCTCGATAACAGGCATAATTCACGGCACATGAAGCAATTTCCAGCAAGCAAGAAAAGGGAACCCTGGAGAAAATTACCGTTGCTCTTGGAGCAAAATACCGAGGCCGGAGATTGTTGTACAGCAAGGAAATTTGACTGGGAAAAAACAAGTTTGGCTCGTGCAACTGAGGTCACAGAAACCTTAAGGCTGTGCCAGCCATCTGGTGTCAGAAGTCAAAAATAAATATGATTTTCTGAGGCAGTTGGAAAGGAACTCCTGTCCTCAAATGGAGCAGGTTCGTTAAAACAAACATGGCTCCTTGCAGCTACCTTTGCTGACGTCTTTCTCTTAACTTTCAAAATGAGGCAGGATGAGACTGTTGTAAGCTCTCCTCTACATCACTTCTGTTTGATATTTCATAAACAATGTCAAAAAGTATGAACTTTTACTTACCTATTTGTACACTGTCACTGAGTTCCTTTATGATGTCCATTTTCTGGGGAATAAAACAAAAATGTCAACTGCAGAGCATCAGCAATGAACGTAACTACAACAAATTTAATCGCGAGCTTCAAGTGGAAACCTTTGCCAAAGTGCCTGACGTAGAGACAGATAGACTTTTCAAGTTCATTTTAAAGTGTACTGGAATGTCAAGCTCCCTTGGATTATGCAGACAATGTGTATGAAAAATACGGCGTTTTTATACCTTCAGCATGTTGTCAAAGATGAACCGGGTCCGTGGATTCTTAACTGCTTTGAAGACGTCTTCTGGACGCGCACGGATTACACCTTTCCCAAGGAAGCTGTGAGGAGTGAGTGGAAATAACGATGGTTAATGATCACTGACTAACACCTTGTCTTCAAGCTATTTTCTGTTTCCCAAAGTAAACAAATGATGATATGGAAGGTTTAAAAGGATTTGGGCACGATGACGTGGCCATTTAAGAAATATATCAAACAGTGAAAGGACTCGGACTGGAACTCAAGTCTGAGTCCTTTTGCAAATACACGAACACTTCTAGCGTATTTTCTGCATAAACACTCAGTCTCACAATCACAAACACCATATCTCCAAAAATACTGTGTAGCTTTTCAAGATTGATTCCTACTGAACCAACACATACACTGATATATTTTTGGGGCTCGGACAAGGACTGGACTGCAACACTACTGACTGACCAACTGTAAACCATGTCCAATGACAGTTGGACTACAGTTGACTACATGGACGGGGTGCCAGGTTGGTAATATCACTCATCAATCAGGACATTAGAATATACGGTCCTTTTTTTTGTTCGGAAGTGGTATTCCTTTGAAACTCTTAAACAGATGAGTTCCAAAAATGTTAAACCACTGACTTACCAATGATACTTTCCCTGGACAGGATTCTTCTGAAGTATCACAACTTCTTTGGCAAGTGAGTGAAAGCTAGAGGTGGAGAGAAAAAAAACAGACGCAGTATTCCAAAAGGCAGCGTTAGTAAACAGCATCATCAGTAAAACAGCTTTCAAAAGGAAAGTCAGGGGAGATAAGAGTAGGGTCGAAGCACTATGTACAGAAGCAACAACAGCAAAGATGCATTTATGCCATCGATCTTTTTTTTAGATACTTGTCGTATGTAGAAATTCTTCCATTATCTTCAACCTCACAGATGCAGAACTCAGAAGACAAAATGCTTTCTAGAGAGAAAGTGCCAACAATTTTTGGAAAATAGATAAAGATCAAATTGTAATAAGTTTTGAGAAATGGATAAACATTATGGAGAATATTCCCAACGTTTGTCAGAATCATCGATTTTTGGTTTGTAATAGTTTTAGTTTTGAAGGGTTTATAAGTATTCCATAGTCCTATTCTTGCTAATGGGGGTTGAAGGGGAGTAGATAGAGTAGCTAACAGGAAGGTGGTAAAAACTGAACCAGCCAACGCAACCGCCATCTTGTAAGAGAAAGACCACTTACAACCAGCCTCCAGTCTGGGCCTTCTGCTCGGCCACACTGGTGTTGACATTGATCCCTGTCACCTGATTGGACTGGGCCAACAGCTCGGAAGAGCACTGATTGGCTAGTGTGTATAGCTCCTCGGATCCATCTGTCAAAACAAAAACATGGAAATCATGTCATCATTGCATGAAGCAAGAGTGCTACGCCTAGTGGCCTAGTGCCGAGTTGATGGCACTATTTAATAGAGGGAGAAAGAGGAAGGACTATTAACAGGAGGGGTGAGATTTGAGGAAACTGTAAAAATCAGGAAAAAATATGCCTGCCGAAGTATGTCCCTCAATCCTCCATACTTTCCTTCAACACTTTACCGCACCACGTTTACCTGCGGTGTCCTTGCTTGTTGATTTTTCTGATTAATTTCTGATAATATTCGTCTTCCCCTTCCAAGCCTCTTTTTCCACCTGACTTTCAAGCTGCGAAAATTTCCATGGATTTTTCATGTCAAGTGAAAAATCTCCACCACGATCATGACAATCAATGACTTTAAGGGGATAGAGAGCCCTTTGGATCAGTCAAAGCCTGGGAAGTTTTCCACAGACACGGACAGTGCAGTGCAGTGGTGCAGTGCATGGCACACGTGCACAACTGGATCGAGTCTACAGTTCAATACCATATACCCTTACTGTTTAATGGTATTCTACTGCACTCCAGTGGGAGTAACATAAGATCATGTGCGCTATTTGTCTGGACATACTTGTATTAATTATAGCAGAGAAATTGAGCATACTTCAAGTTATTTTGCAAAATTTGAAAAGTAGATGCAATATTTCACATAAGTGAACGTGTACCATGTTGTTTTTCACACTCAATTTTGCCCTCGCACCGACATAGTTCACACTGTATTCGTAGTGCTTACTCAGTGTGAATATACATGTACATGTCTGCATATGAAAAAACCTAATAAAATATTGGCACTCCAAATGCCAAGCCAAGTTTATATCGTTTACTGAACCATGTTAGATTTTTAAATATTGCTTTGTGCATGAGCAGCAACTTCATGTATCTGAATAGACTTACCAAGTGACTAGTTTAGTATTCAGAATTTGAGATGTAGTGTAGGATATTTGAGAACATCAATACACGCAAGGATGGCCATATCAGGGTGGCTGAAGGCTGACACACATGTACTGAATATTTTTTGTCCTGGCATGATATCAGGTGTTTTTTTCTTAAAAGACCGTGCCTGTTTGAGAACTGCAATGGCACATACGAACCCATTATTACAGTAGCACTGAGCTTGCTCGCCGGAGGTACTCGCCCATTCCATTCTTTGACACCAAGTGGTGTTATGACTTGATTTTGAAAGTTGAGTTGGATGATCAATATTTGGCTAACCTTTCAGGGATGTCGGCTCTTCATCACCAAGCATGTAATCAATCATTCCCGTCATGACCCCTGGGTCAGAGGTTATGGCCCCGGTGGGGGCTTTGCTGTCTCTCTCCAGGCTTCCCTTGTTGCTCATCCAATCAGAGAACCCTGTGTCTTCGCTGGAGGATGAGCCCGTTTCTCCCAACCCTTCACCACCGATGGCACCACCACCTAGACCGCCACCAACCCCCATGGCCCTCCCTCGGTGGCGCCTGCTCCGCAAGGGGGCCACCTTCTTCACCTTACCTAACGGCGAGGGGCTCTTGCGGGCAGGCTTCGGCTTCGACCTGCTGGAAGCGTTCACTCTCACGTTTGTCACCTCAGTTGGCTCGGCCCCTTCCCTGTCCCAACTCTTCTTGCCTTGAGTTTGGCATGGTTTCTCCTTGACTGCATCTTGCAAAGTGCCAAGTTCATCTTCATTGTCCTCTTCGACAAACACCGGCAGCAAGTCACTCACATGCTGCAAGGTTGTGCGTGTGAGGGGAGGAAGCTTCAACTGCGTGTGCTTGATGTACTGGCGAAGGGCAGCCACGCGCATGGCAAGACACTGGCTAAAGTCGGTGGCTGTTTTGCTAGCATCTGGTGAAGGACTCCAGATGAAGTGAAGAACACTCCTTCTCCTTCCCAATGCTGAAAAGGATGAACACAAGAATTTTAGATCAGTGTTGGGATATGACAAGCTGAGGACTGGCGCTGTACATTTTGAAAAAAAAACAACACAATTTCCATTTCTCATAGACAAAACAAATTCTACTTGGAGAAAGATTCAGTTAAGATCTGAGAAAGAAGCAACTTGGATCTGAGGAAGTTTCTGCTAGGTTCTAAGGAAGGATTCTGCTAGGATTTGAGAGAGTTTGATACCTGAAAGATTCAAAACATCACACTGTCTTTTTGGTCAGTAAGTAGCAGTTTTCACATTACTTTTCAAGATTTTAAAGAGAATACTGATGCATCAGATGAGTGCAAGCCTTATCCAGTGATACTTGGTTCAACAGTTGACATGAGCTGACTGGATTCTTTGTACTTCATCATTTTTCCCTATCAAATTTAATACCTTCCTGTATTGGCTGAATCAATAAATAGCACCAGGGTGTGTAGGGAGCCTTGATGCTGTCTTCGTTCTTGCTAAACATCCAGCAAGTTCCATCCCGTTCAACCCTCCAGGTCCTGTAATTCAAGAGGTAAAAATGATTCATAAACTAGGCTCAAGAGGGCTACCAATGTCGCTACACAGAGCCTTTCATAATCCCCCTTGGCATGGCAGGTGGACTCCAAACAAGGCACCCATGAAACAAGGGGCCTAACGCTCTAAATACCAAGCTTGGTTTGGAAGTAATTACATGTACAACTCAGATTGCTTTGGTTGCATTGGGAACACTCCTCTAGCAAAACAGTAAATGACCGGACCATTCCTGAATTGGATCAGACTACCCAAGCATTAAGCTATACAGTAAAACAATCCCCGTCCCACCATATACAGTACAAATGTATGTAGAATATTACCATTATAGGCCCCACCCTTGGCACTAGATCAGTGTACATATTCTTGTAAAAACTGTTGCACGCTAGTAAAATGCATTTGTTAACTTGCCCAGCAGGCTAGTAAAGAAACACCTACCAGTTTGAAACCGTTATTCGTCTTATTTGTAATGATGAATAATAGGAATGTTGTGATATTGCTTGTACGTGTTATTTATTATAATTTGTCACAGTTTGGAATCCTCTGCGTTTAGGTTTTAAAACTGACAGAAATGGTTGAAATAATGAAGTTCAAAAAGCCAGTCAACATTTAATTCCAGCGGGCCAGTGAAATTTCCTGCGGGCCTGAAAAAAAAGTAAAAAACACAAAGCTTAAGGTCAGGGCCAGCATCAGCCCATTGCTCTTCCTTACACTTCCTAACCACATGAAGCTGCTAAATACAAACATACTGCTTCTAATGAACAAGTACCTGCTAAGCAAAAAATAACAGAGAACCAGTTGTGAGCAATATAAATCCACATACATTTTGGCTGGTAACCTGCTCCTGTTTAATAGCTATCATTTTATTCCTAAATAAAATGAACATCCAAGCATTTCAAAGTCTGAGACACCTCTTTTAATTTCAAAACAGCTGCGTTCTCAGTACCAACCCTGACATAACTCAGTATCCAGACCAATGGGAAAAGTTAAGTAAACAAATTTAATCAGCTTCCAAATGAATATGACTAAAGGGCATCATCCTGACCTGTTGACAACGATGTCCCTTTTTTCTTGCATCCCATCTCCGACCTTCATTCCAAGTTTTAGGCTGAATGGCAGGATCCTCCAGAAATAATGAAGGTCCAGTCCGAACAGGCCACTGTGAACAGGCTCAGAGAGTTTAGAGGGGGAAGACATGATGCAGACCATATCCGTCATGACCGGATTCTCAATGTCTACGTCATCCAAAAGCCTCGGAGGAGAAGACTGGGTTATGCAGGTGATGGAGGGGTCCCATTCCCGCTGTTTGGTGATGTTCTGCACCGCAGCAAGGACATCCTGGAATAGTTACCCAAAAAAATTTATTTATCCCCCCCACACAGGAAAAAATTGGGTGTCATAACCTCTTGTACCAGGGTGTATCCTTTTCCTTAATACTACTAGTGCATACATATTACAAGCATTGTGTCCACTGGGTAAACATTTAACAACCATTCTTTGACTACTACCAGGTACATGTAGTGGAGATCCCTGTTGACAACTGCACAAAATATACCCCGAGTGCCAGGCAAAATTGGCCAGTGGTTGACAAATGGTCCTCGTTCAAACTTGTCCTAATATGTAATCACTCAATCTATTCATTCTGGCTAGTTATCAATCAATGTACACTAAGTCCCTGGTTTATTCCCTTGTGTTTTAATATTTGTCTTGACTTGTATTTGGGTCCAATCTATAATTGGGTTTATCTATTGAAAATGCTTACTACTTGTATTAACAACACACTGCTTCAGGTTGAATTACTTACATTGAGTTCAACATATTTTGCCACACCAGAGTTGGAAAAATGGACTGGTACAAAACATGTTGAGATCTTTTTGTTTCTAACATGCATCATGTAACACTGGAAAGGTGGCAAAATTCTAATATTTGCGTGATGACAAATCTGTGTCTCCATTTTTTTTCTCAAAGCATACACGAACTAGCAACTGTGAACAAAGTTCAATAGATAAGGTTCCCATGAAGGAAATTGATGGGAGAATGATTCTAACTTATGACCTCCAGAGAAGAGTATTACTTGTTCAACCACACACGGCTAAACTGCACAAGTTGGGTCCCCACAAGGTTCTACACATATTTTGCGGGCTTTGTTGGGAACCTGAAAAAACCCACATTATCCAAAGTGACCCATGGGTTTTAATGGGCTTCAAAATACTTCAAAGACACCGATCCTCTTCTCTTTTCTCTGTTGAAATATTTTCAATCATTTTCCACCTTATCATGTACTTTGGAATGGCCATCTGGATGTATTACAATCACAGACCAAATTGTGTTTTATTTTTTAGAAACTGGTGACAAAGTTTGTTTAGAAGTAACTTTAGTCGGTATCAATGAAAGAACAAGGCTTCCTCTTATTTGCAAACCATTATCCAAGAGATAAGATCAACACTGTCCTTCACCTGAAGTTTTGCAGGTTTGCACAGTGTTTGCATACTCCAAAGTGCACTGTTAAACAAGCCAACTTTTTAAAATTTGAAATGAAGGCAAGGGCCAAGAGTCATTCTGGATTCAATATATTTTAAGGTGCCTGTCTACTGCATTACAGGCCCTAAATGTTTTCTTTCTAATTACCATACTAAGGCATTTCGCAGTGTCTGTTGTGTATAAATTACAATCCTGTTCAATCAGTCGTTTTCAATCCGGCCGTTTCACAATAGTGCGCCACCAAGAGTTTGTTATGTGTTGGCCAATCACAATGCACGAAAGTTGTCGACCCAATGAGCGTTTAGAAATGGTCTACAAATTTCGAGTGTTGTGATTGGCCAATGCGTTGCAAACTCTTGGAGGCGCCCCATTGTGAAACATCCCTATAGGCCAGATCAATACACTATTCATGAAGCTGTTTGCTGGAAGCAGGTTCAGATGAATAAAAAAAAAAAAATGGGAAGGTGTTTTTGTAAGGTGTATATTGCGTAGTTCGAAGTGTTACAAGACCAACACAGGCAGTGCACCATTTAAGCAACTTGCGGCTGACAAACACTACTCAAAAGCAAATGTTTCATTGGTGACTGAGTGAATGAGACTTTTTTCTGCATTTGTTCTTGTTTGTTTTGTGTTCTAACACAGCACTGAACATGCCATAAAAATTATACCTAATGGGAACAATTCATCATCATTTTAATAATGATAATACCAATTTTCAATTAGCGTGTGGGTAATACCCTGAGATTAGGAAGGTAATTTTTGAAAAGGAAAATGTGATAAACTGAAACTAAGAAAAAGGTAATTTTGTACAATGAAGGAAATGAAACAAAAACAAAGATCAAAAGCAGTCTCACCTTCTATAGTATCATACTAATAAAACTAATCTATGCCATCTACATGTGGGTTGACATGTACATGAGAATTACAGCACTTGTTTCTCAGCTCTTACAATGTAAGTATAGTCTAGGATAAGTCAAAGCCAGAATTACCCCTCCCCCCCCAAAAAAAATCTGATTAAAGTCCCACAACTGATCAATACCAGTGCCAGAGAGTTTGGAATTACAGTAAAAAGTGTACCTCAGCTTCGGCATCCACTGTTGCAAAGCATCCGTGCAGTGTCTGGCTACACTGACCCGGCAAAGGTAGATGCCTGATCCACACTCTCAAGTTATTGCAGACACCAACGAGCTGCCATCCCAGGCTTGGCTCGATAGGTAACAACTGGGCACAATTATGAGAAAAGCAAAAGCTTTATGAAATTGACTGTAAAATGGAAGCCCCCATGAAAAAATCCAATCAAACATTACGGGGAAAAAAGGGGTTTCTTCACAATGACCAAATCTTCCAATGGCAGTGGGAAGTGATGACCTTGAATGAACTTGTTTGGTGATACAAATACCAGTACTTATTTCAGATGGTGGAATCACTGTCTTAAACCCCGTCTAAAAAGGGCGTCAATTTCAAGTAGCTATGGCTATGTCTGTTGTCAGCTCATCCCCATGCATTACAAATGGGAGAAAAGCCAGACCTAGCCCCAGACAACAGATTCGGATGCAGCCTTAGCACACGTACAGTACACATACATGGTACATATTAGGTACAGCTTGTCCAAGTACAGGCTTTGCTTAGAGCTGAGATTTGTCATACAATACAACCCACGTATTCCACAAGGCACAAAATGTTTGTTGCACAAGACAACAGATTCTGTTTCATGTAAGCATATGTTGATGTACAAGTGTAATGAGATTCAAACAGGAGTCTGCTCAGTGTCTCATGATATTGTGTTACAGACAGAACTTCCCCTTCCAATTCCTCTTGTGCAAACAAGCCACTGAACGTGACCACAAAGTTCAAAGGTAATCCAGTGTCAGTGTTCTAGCCACAGTGGGCAGTGCCAGGCGGCACCACCCGGCACTTCAAATTTCTGCCTGGCTCTTGGGTTTAAATTGGCTATGCTGCCCAGCACGGATTTTCAAAAAAATGAACTGAAATATTACTAAAAAAGTACCAATTTGATTGAGCAGTATTTCAAGCATCAGAAAGCATTGAGAACGTCTAGCTGGCATTGTTACGAGACCCGGATGGGATATAATGTAGCCTTCCCTGAGGCAGCGTGCACGTGTTCGTAGTCTTGGCTCAAGACCAGCCGAACAGCGGTATCAATAGCGGACGCAAATCCACTCCTACTATGAGCTGCGCTGGCTACACTTCACAATCCACAAATTTACCCCGCACTAAAATGGTCGTAGCTAGAACACTGTTCAGTGTGTATTGTAAATTTACTTTGTACAAAGTCACATGAGTACGCTTCCGTGCTGTCTGTGTAAAAGTCACATAAACCCAAGCAAGATGCTTTAGATGGCTTGTACAAGTGCTCAAAGATAGGAGAAAATAAAGGGAGTTAAAGAAAAGGGTCAAATGATCTCAAGACTCACAAGGAGACGAAACTGTACAATAGTGTACATGTTTACATGGGTGACTTACCTTCTGCCCAAGGAGAAACTGTAGATTTGTTTGTTGTTGTTGAAATTTTCTGGACTTTAACTTGTAATCCTATGGAAATATGAGGAATTAAAACAAGGGATAATACACTGTCATGACCAAAAATCTAAATTTATGTACACTGTACCGGTACATAAAACACATAATATCTTTTGGATTCTACCATATTTTTCATTCAGATATTGCACACAACGCCTTTTTGATAGGTTCTGGCATTCTGTTGAGACAACTGAATACAACTAAAAGTGCACAGACCATTAAAAAGGCCACACATATACATGTACATATAAACTCTACAAGTAAAATATGTTAAATACATGTATGTATGAGCACAAGTAAATGCAGTAACGGTGGACGAAATAATCAGATTTTGGCACATGGATCATAACCCTCCCCATACGCACGTGTAGGTGTACACGTGTAGGACATATGTACACACAGTTACTTAGTAATCTAATCTGTCTGGGAATGTCAGAGAAAATGGCCTCCATAAGTTAGTTTGATTTTCCATCACTGTACAGTCCATGTTCACTGCTACTGAAGATGTACAAACTCTGTATATGTCAAGCCCAAGAGCTTTACAACACTGTTCTGTCTTCCTACCGGCCGAGTAAATTACAACTGTTCGAATGTTCACAATCCCCACAAAATAAAGGCAAAGCTAAGACTGGTTGGGACCACAAGGCTCCCAGTCAACCCGATTTTCACAGAATTACATGCGACTCCTAAAGGGATGTGTGAACTTCAGTGTGTGTTAACATGAGTATAAACATGCATCATGACTTTATGTAAATCATTTTGTAAACATGTACCGTTGCCACAAGCAATTAAATAATGGGATTGGTGTATGGCTCTTATTACTGAATATCATTTACACATTTACATGTTCATGAACATCCCTTAGCTCAGGGTTGATTCTGATCAAATCAAATCAGCCCAAGTAAGGTCCCTTCTTAATACACTTGTCAGCATGCCTTCTGGATGTGGCATCCAATTAAGCATTCAGAGAGTTGGACATGTACCGGGTACATTTCTTGACAATCAAGCACTTTTGTTTTTTGATTTGAACACTTCTGTGAAATACGTGTACACTACATCATGTCAACACTGACGCCGCAAACATCCTTCATGGGCTCCTCTCTCATAAAATTTACAAAACTAAACAATTTTGGTTTTTGTATCCGCTCCAAGCAGAACAAAAGGGGGCATGTTTATGACTGAAATTGACAGTCCTTCTGGCACCAACTAACGCGTATGCACGCAAGCATATACGAGTTTGACGCTGTGCACACCGAGTAAGTGCAACACATTTACTCCAGAATGTACAATGTATAGTCTTTGCATGCAGGCAGAACGTGTGCAAGGCAAGAACCCAGGTGTAACCATCTGTCTTTCTTTCGCCGATTGGGGGTGCACTTCTGCTCAGGGCGGATACACCCAGTGCAGTTCTGTTTTATGAAACTTTCCTTTATTTACTTTTCTCATTGAAGAGTTAAATCTAGATGGATGGCGTTTTATGTTAAGTCTTATTCCTCAATGATCCACGCAAAACCCTTTAAAAGTGTTATTCTCTGACTAAGTACATGTACATGCACTACGGGCTTCCTTGTCTGTTAGTGAAAATAAACAGGTCAATTTCTGCAACGCACACACAAAAGTGTAGGTGTCAGTTTGAGTTTCCGCATATAATACAAATTTGCATACGGGATGATGTATCATGATGAGTATAACGATAAGCACAGGTATGTCGTAAGTGTGCATACCGGGTATGTGTACTGAAAAAAATTTACAGTCTGAACATTGCCTGAAATAAAAAGCCCCCAAATTACAGCATACTTCTACAGACCAGTCTGACGAAACAACTTTGAAGCTATTTTTGAATGGGAGTAACCCGCTTGCCGATTCCCTGGCCTCAACAACATGTAATGACATGTGCTTTGCAAAGTGTTGGCACTTCCTTGATTACCCCAGGGCCTGTCGATATGATCCAGAAATCAATTCACCCACTTTTTCCCAGTATTGAGTGAAGCTATTTTCCAAATGTCTGGAGGAGAGATCCAAACTGTCTACATGCATATTCATGTATGTCCAAGTGTGTTTTTGAGGGGGGGGGAATCAACTCCTCCACCTTACATTTTAGAATACATGTACGCCACTCAATCTATTCCCTAAAATGTCTTCATGTAAAACCACATCAGTAAATCACAAGCCATACCACCTTAAAATTCGTATCACAAGTATGTCACAGAGTAATCACTACCTCTGGCAATGCTATGAGGAAGTACATAACACATGTAAAACTGAAACACATCATGAAAATTTGTTCTAAGGTATATAACTGTAAGTAAATAAAGCAACAAAATTGGGTCAACTGAACCACTAGTGCAGGTACATGTACTTTTTAAAAAAACTAAAAAATGTCAAACTCCAAACCAAATCCATGGATAAATACATGTACATTAACAGGATTACTGATTTTTCCCAAGTGATCTTCTAAACCTAATAAAAGTCCCAAAAGACACCTACTCTCAAAACTTCAAAAGTAAGGTACAATTGCTGATGTAAAGATATTAATGAAAAACTATAGCGAAAGCGGTTTATTCCAAGACTTTTTCCCCCAAAGTAGTCAAACATGTGAGCCTTGTGAGGCATTGTGATTATACATGTATGTACATCATGTACCGTATCTTTGTACATATCAGATGGTTGCTCTGTATTTTAAAATTAAAATTAGAGAGCATTACATTCCAATCCTCCTCGCATTGATGCAATCTTTCTTGACTGGTCCAAAGCCTTTGACAAATGCGACCATTCAATCCTTCTTCAAAAACTACATCAGTATGGAATTTGCGGTAACACACTTTCATGGATCAGTAATTTTCTTTCCAACAGAGAACAACGAGTCATCTTTTTAGGAGCCAATTCTGACTGGATACTGGTAATTTCAGGAGTCCCCCAAAGCTCAGTCCTTGGTCCCGTATTATTTAATTTCTTTAAATCTGACTTAGCTAGCCATGTAAAATCTTCTCTTCCTCAATATGCAGATGACACTGTTTTGAATAGAATAATTAGATGTGAAGATGACATTTCCATTGTACAGAATGACCTTAATGCTCTTTCCAGATGGTGCTCTGATAACCAAATGAAACTTAACTCAACCAACTGCAAAGTTACGCAGGTAACCTGCTCCAGAAAGCAAATACTAACCACTTATTTTCTTCCAGATTCTAACCAACCTCTCTGTTGTCCTATCCTACAAATACCTTGGTGTCATCCTTTCTAATGACCTAACCTGGACCAAACATGTAAATTTTGTTCGTGCCAAACGCTCTAGACTTGCTGGCTTCTTACAACGCACTGTAAAATCCAAAAATGCTAAAGTTCTAAATAAATTATATTGTTCTCTTTGTAGGCCCATCTTAGAATACGCTGCACTGGTTTGGCTACCTCATCAGAAAAACCACATCCAATGCCTTGAGACAATCCAACGTCACTTCACCAAATCTTGCTTCCCCTACAATGTTGCTATTTCTCTTTCCTACGAACAACGTCTATCCAAGCTTCACTTGCCTCCCCTCTACAACAGACTTGTATAACTCAGTGCTTTGTTTGTCATTAAGTGTTTTTTCAACAACATTTCTGTTTCCTCACATTTTCTTCTGCAGGCCAACACAAGAAAAACCGACACCCTTCTTTTCAAGCACCAGTACAAATTCAAACAAATTGTCTCAAATTTTCTTTGTATGCCCTCTTTCCCAGATTGTTCAATTCTCTTCCCTCAGATGTCCGAGAACTCTGCCTTGAACTTTCCCCTAAATCCTTCATCAATTTTTTGGGTGATTATCTTTTCAGTCTCAACCCCATTTCTCATCCTTTCTAGAGTTTCATTCCCAAAGTATTTTCCTCCAGCCCTCACCACTTAGTATTTACCCTATCATTTCTTTGCCTCTGTTGTTTTTTTTTTATTTTTTATTTGTCTGGATATTTTTGCTACTTATTTCTTGTCATTCTTGGTATTCACTTTTTTGACATTATTTTTCTAATGGCTTAATATTTCAAAAATATATAGTTTTATTTTTGCCAGCCTTCAGTTATATTATTTGGAATTAAGTATAAATCTAATTTACATTCTATAGTTTTCTTTTTTGTACATATTTGTTTAGATATTTTGCTACTTATTGCTTTTATGTTGCCAGCCTTAAGTTATATTATTTGCATTTAAGTATAAATCTGATTGACATTTTGATAAAGTATATCTGTAAATAGTCATGTTTCCTATATGTTTTATCTAGTTAGTTAGGAGAGCCCCTCGACAGAAACTTGTTTCTTTTGGGTAATCCTGCGGAAGCTGATTGGGTGTTGTTATGTTTCTGTTATGTCTATTGCAATGTTTGTTTTCTTGTCTGTCATTTAATGTATGTAATATCCCGAAAAATGAAATAAATATATAAAATGAAAAAATTGTATGTCTCTGATTGGACAAGGAATGACACTGGGAATTGTTCAATACATGTAATTGACAGTCGTCAAAAATTAGAAACACACTCAGTGTACATGAAGCTATGAGCCTATCTACTACATTTACATTCAAGGTCCTTCAGAGTTCGAAATCGGCCAGATCCATTCTAAGCAATCATTATTTTGATACAAGAAGGCACACAGCAGGTCAGTATGACTCATCCATGGGTCGTCAATACATGCACTACACTACATACAGTACATGTACTGTACATGCAGGCTGCGCATACATCTGAGAAGAGTTCTCCAGACTGGGGTCAACAAACTTCCTGGGTGAACAAACTTTTATCTGCAGTTGCCCCTAATAAACTTTTCCAGTGACTGAGCACCAGGGGTGGTTATGGTGCTGACAATGGTGGAGGAGGTAGTGGGACTGGGAGGCTTTGTATGGGGCATTCTTACACTGATCATTGTAGGCCAAGGCACTGTTTACACCATATCCATGTTTACATTTTCACAAGGTAACCAGGTGTGTTTATCTTTAGAGAAACACTGACAACTGACAACAGGTCAGGATGATCCACAGAGGAAACAACAAACCTAAATGATTACAGCAAACATATCAGAAGAGATATAGGGCATCTCATCCACTTCAATTGTAGATATTTAGTCAAGTCTGGGGGCTTGGGCTTGGCTTGGATTTGGCATTTTATAAATGACCTTTGATTTGAAGTGGTGCATATTCTTGCACGGTTATCAATTATGAAACAAGAGTTTCACACAAACACAAGAAACCTGAATTCACTTCAATGAAACTCTTACATAAGGTATCTGGTAATGCATGAGATTGAGCGTTTCCTCAAAAAGAAGGCTTTTTTAATTTTGAATATTTAAATATTATGTTAATGTTGTAAAAATCCATATCAAATCAACTGCAGCCTCAAGTCAAGGAATATTCAACTCACAAAAGTCACCCCTACATTGATTTTTAGTTCAAATGCTGACAAGCAAGAAAGAAACAAACAAATATTAGGGCTGAGTCAACTCGAATAATTCACTATTCGAATATCTGACCTTCAATTCGATCGAATTTTAGGTCAAACCAACCAGCAGATTGTTGATGAGCAAACCACATACAAAATTGATCGCAATAACGCACACAATGTACATTATAACCACTAAGTTGTAGCTTCTCACGTCTGGGAGCATTTCCAACCATGATAGCAAGATTTAAGAGACAACCACTACTTCTTGCCCTGGTGAAATTTCTATTCCTTTTAAATCTTTTAAAGAATAATTTACTTTTTGAATCGTAAGAAATCTGCCTCAAACAAGCCTCCAAAGGGCAATTTTTCCCATTTAAAGCAAAAGGAAATTCTCCTTTGCTTTTCATGAATTCTTAATTCAAATATTCAAATTTGGAAAATGATATTTGAATATTCGCTAATCATCGAATATTCAGATATTCGGCACAGGCCTAAGAAATACAGTACCAATGTGTAACATGCTGAAATGATGTGAGACACACGCATGTACATTATACACTTCTATGTACATTTAATTCCCTGGTGAACGAGTGATTAAACATATAGTTGAACCTTTGTGATTTTCATGTACAGACTACAGTACTTACTGTTTAAAAATACTATACATGTACAATGTACATGTACCTAGTATTACTGTGTAAATACAATGTATATGTAGAGTACATGTGCATGTACATGTAAATGCTCATGTACTGCCCACAAGTCAGTTCAACTAACCTTACACAGTACATGTACATGTAAAACTTCACTGTGTATTTTTGCATTCCTCCGTGGATTAAGACAGCGTTAACAAGGAAGGGCAATATTACAAGAACAAGACCACAGAAACCCTGTGCAGAATCGTTTCTTTGTTAATGCATAGTTGCCTGCATGCTTACACATGCACCTCTACCCTCATGTTTAATCCTGTACACACAATGGCAAGCATGTAAACCATTCAGAACTACACTGTACCAGCACTGTGTCCCTTGATATCCAAAGTAGGCTCGCATAATGGCCAGATTTTAATTCCTTGTTTACAATTTCTGCGTATGCATCAGCACAAACTTCCTTTCCTTTCTAGAAAAAACTGCAGCATTTTAGGTTTACAGTCCTTGATTGCAGACTTGTTGTCTTGGCACATTGTTTACACCAGTCATGCCAAACCACGCACAAGGTGCTTCCTGGCCTGCTGTAACATCTCAAGACTAGTTGGCTTCAAGTGCAGCCCACATCTCAAGGACTTCTGCAGCGACAGATTTTCCACACTGCCCCAAGAAATTTTAACAGCAACATGAATTGCTGTGTTTTCAACAGAGTGAGCAAATCACATACTGTTCAATGGAGGAAACCTGCGTTAACCTCACATACCGGTACACTGAGCCACAAATACAATGCTTGGCAAAGATTCCTGTTTTTCTGTCATTACTCGTACATCAGGCAAATTTACATGTACCTGTGTAATTGTTACGCCCTAACTACCGCTACACTGTACATGTATAGTGTTTGTCCCAATTATAGCTGGGACATGTACATGTGGTGCGCCAGTTGGGCAGGCCCGAACTATTGTTGACCAATTTCTATGGAAAATTTCTCAACCTTATCCAGGTTTATGTATGCATCTCATACTTGACATAATTCATCTAAAATGTGGCACTTCATCCGTGACGCGACAATGTCAACAATATGACTGGCACATGCTGGGCACATCCACACTGAACATCTGTGCTGTAGTTGGGCTGGCCTAACTATAGCACTCTAACGGTAGTTGGGATGGGTCCAACTATAGTTGGGACAGTCCCAACTATAGCTGGGACTGATGCTGTAGTTGAGGCGTAACATGATCACAGTACTCTTGGATGAGTTTCCTTGAAATGAACTGAAATGGACCAAAAGGGCTCAATTTGAAAGTAACTGAGCCAGGGAATCTTCTACCTTCACTCAACGCATTAAATTTAATCAAAAATTAGGAGTCTGAGTCCTGCCAAATCCATTCTGATTTGAAATTCAAACGGGTCAAAACTCCAGTCTTAGTGAATACAGAGTAGCAGTTTAAGCAAACCACCCTCTCTGTCCAAATAAAGTCAAAGTTTCAGTATTGGAAGGTTGTATCAAGTTTATCTATTGTCAGACTAGCCACAAGTGCTGTCCAACATGGAACCTGCAAATATTGTCCTACATGAATTCGAATGATGAAAGTGAAGGGACAAACTCCCTGCTTTGGAAATTTGCCAGTGTGTGTCCCTGTGTCAGAACACTTCAGTGGTTGGATTGGATCCAAGCATATCCTCTGGATACAACTTGATTCGACCAAGTCTCACAAGATCATGTGTGAACACTGCGTCTTGTCGTCTTAGACTTTTCATAGTGGCAACATTCAAAGGATCCGGTGGGACATTTCAGATTAAGGACAGTTTGTAATTGGTGTGAAGGCAAACAGGAATGCAATTTTGTGATGCCAGATCAAATATTTGCAACTATGAAGTCACAAACGTTGAATACAATTTAACTCAGGCAAATCCAACATTTTATGATGTGAAATTTGATTCGCTTGCCCATTTGCATGAAGTACAGACCCGCCTTCACACAGAGCTCCAAACTTGCCATTTGATAAAAACATATTTACAATGGACAAAAGAGCTTTTAATATCAAAATACAGAAGGGAAACAGTTGGTGCTTTGTACATGTATTTTTTGACAATCTTTCTACCATCTATTTCAACTCTTGTTCTGAAAGTGCTCCTGTGAATTTAGCCTTAATAAGTTACGTAAACTTAGCTTGTGATCCCCCTCCCATCAAAGCTGTACTAAAGCAAACGGACATATTTCTGCAGATCCCCATTACATCACTTTAAAAACACATGTAAATTTGGCTTTTCAAGAACTTTCCCCAGTGTGCAGAATGTTCAATGTGCATGCATACATGTACCATCAGTAGAGGTACAGTGTACAGTATACATGTAGTTTGCTACCACTGCTCATAGGAGCCAGGTCACCGCTATAACTGGTCAAATCTGCATGGTACAGCTATCTTAAAGCAGCACCTGCAGAGTCCATCATGATATTTTCGGTGCAATCAGTCAATCAGTACAATAGTGTGATTGCGTACAGCTTTCAGTCGATCCTGTATGAAATCTCTAACTTCACTTTTTTAGAGGGGAACAAACTTTCAGAACTATTAGAAAGAAGGCACAATTGTACGACAATGAAATTATCGACTGGCTGTACAGCAAGATTGAGCAATCGCGCAGAGACTGCAGTGCAGATCAACTGATGGCACCTAAAAGATAGTTCTCAACTAAGCTTGGAACATCAGGCTACCTGTATGTCATTCTGGGCTTCCATTCCAGGCTTCCAATCAAGCCCTGGAATGAGATTTCAAGTCACTGCAAATTAAATGTCCTGCTCAGAATGTAACATTTATAGACACCTTCATGTCATTCAAATATTCTCATCTATCCCCAATTCCTCAAGGAAAAGAACCCACTCTACAAGAATCCAATGCCACATTTGTTACTTTCAAGGGGTATCAAATAAAAGTGACAATGGACAGGACATATTTTCCTTCATCACGCAAAATCCTCCAAACATTATAACAGATTTTGAAGGACCTGAGAGGCTTTAAGGTTAATCAACTTACCTCCTGGAAAAAGACGGTGGCAAGTAACACTAGCAAGAAAAGCAAGGAGGCGGCAACCATACACCAAAAGACCACAATGTCCCACTCTAGGAGAGTGACGGCTGACAACCAAGCCATGGGTGCACACTTCTGTCTACAGTCCCCCAGGCATTACATAATATTTGGAAAAAAAATCTGTCCAGGAAAGACAAAGGGTATAGAAATTTGAAAACTTGCATGAAGGGCAGAGTAAAAGTGACTTCATAAGGCCAAAATGTATGTCAATGTTCAGAAAGGCAATGTCCAAATGTAGGGGCCGTACTTGTAGAACCTTTTCCGTTCACGATGCTCTTTCTTCTTTTATTTTTAAGTGTACGTCTTTCAAGGTGTACTGTACATCAAACAGTGTAGGAATCCTTCTAAGATTAAACCAACATTACCTTGGCAGCCTCAGGGATAGCTCAAATTGACAAGTAATTTTGGACAGAGTGTCACTTAAGATGAGGGATTACAACTAAAATAGAAGTAAAAATCTGTGCCAATCAGTAGGAAGTGATTTCGTTTGAGAGAGACTTATTGCCTGTTTTGGTAAACAATACAAAAGAGGTAGGCCTCGGTTTTCATTTCAAGTGATCCAGAACTAGGCCTATAAAGTCCCGCCTAGAGTAAGCCTAGCCTACTCACAGTGATAGTCACTGATACTAACGGAGCCTGGAAAATATTGAAGCATTTAGCCTTTTTAGGCCTAATAAGGCCAAGCCTACATGGAATTTTTCGGACCAATCTCTAGAGTCCTAGTCAGGGCTTGTGAACAGAGTAACATACATGTAGTACTACTAGTACAACGCATGTACATGTACGGTCTGAACAGCATGCACAGCAGTTGGCCTACATTTAGTAAGTTCAGATGAGAAAGAAGCAGAATTTCCCCACCTGTTCCGTTGTCTATGAACGATGTCTTCACTCTGTACATGTAGTTCTGTGCTCCAATGCCAATGAGAGTGTATCAATAAATCAAGAACACTAACTTAAAAGTTAAAGCAGACCATCGAGTAATGTCTATGATCTGATGATGAATAAAACAACATCAGTTGCGCCTCGTACTGCAGCTTCTGATGATGACTCTCTCAATCTCACTCAAAAGTCTCATACTCAGTACTGTCGAGGCTCGCTCACGCACGCGATATTCATGCATCGATCATAAGTAATCTGACCTTGCAGTGCCGGCGCGGCGCGGCCCTCCTACCCCTCACATGTACACATGGAACCATTGATCAACATTATGCATGGCGCTCAGCATGCAAGAGGGCGCTATTGACAAATGGAAAAAAAGCTTGGAACTGTTTCCTTGTTTTTTGGAACATTTTCTTCCCGAGGAAATATTCCTGGGGAAATGAAAAAGTTAAGGAAATTTTAAAGAAAATCCTAAAAGGAAAAGCTAAGATGAAAAATGAGAACACATTTGGTCATTCAATAAATGCACGGTGCTTGGATAAAACTGTTCAAGATACGGTTGGAATCAGCTCGAATTGACCTACATCGTTTACCCGTTCTCGTCATCTAAAAATAAATCATTAGCTGGGTGAGATGTGTCTGCAATAATTGACTTAGCATTCGCCAGTAAACGAGATTCATAATGTTTTTCCAAAGCAGGTAGATCACCACTAATTGTATTGCTGACAGTGTCGACAACACGACTGAGGCGTTTTTCCTTTCGTCTACAGTACAGTTTCGGCTGCGAATGTTAAAACACTCTCAATCGTTGCCAACTTCACCAACAAACCCTGGCTGACAATCTCCGAAGTCTCCTAAGAACAAGCAAATGTTGGTGGGCTTTTCTAATAATGAAATCAACATGATCCAGCAATTTCAGATTATTGGAGATAGTACACCGAGAAAGTTAAACGAATCAACAATTTCGACCTCCGCCCCGTTAATACTAAGTGGCTGAATGTCATTGTGAGTTCTTCTAAAGTCCACAATTATCTCCTTAGTCTTTCCAACATTTATCTCCAGGTTATTAATGGGACTCCATTGAACTAAGTAGTTAACTTCGTTGAGAGGATTCGACCACCCAAAGTAATAATATCTCACGCATGTTTGACCATAAAGGTATTACAGGCTTGTACAGCACAGTCATGGGTAAACAATGAATACAACATGAGTGGTAAAATACATCCTTGAGGTGTACCTATGTTCAGGACAAGTGACTTGGAAAAAAATGATGTCCTATCTTCACTTTCGAGCGATCTAATATAAAATCTAGAATCCGCTGGCAAATTGAAGGATTCAAGATCCAGGTTTATAAGCTTACGATAAAGCTTAAAACAAGTGAAATAGTGTTAAAAGCCGAACTGTGATCTACAAATAAAAATCTGCAATAATTAGGGCCATTCTTGTCAAGAAATTGTGAAGCTGCAAAACCCATGAATTTGCATCATCAACTGTGTGATCTATTGCCTTACAGGCAAACCGGAACGGATCCAATTTGGGAGACAACTGTGACTACATATTTTCTGACCAAAGTTCCCATACATCTGACGTTGAGGCAACTGGACAGTATATTAAAGCAAGTAACTGGCGATCGTTTAATCGATGATAATCGATTTTTTTTTTAAATGTACATGCAATCGGCACATGACTAATTTTCAAAGACCAGTAAAATGACTTACACAAAACATTACACAATTTGTCTTTGCAATATTGTAACAGACGCGGACTAATCCCATCCGGACCAGGTGCCTTATACCCAATATGTGCATGCAAACAGCCTTGTTGTCGCTGAGCCGCGACATTAATTCGTCAGTCGTTGACGGAGAAGGCATTCAGTGGGCCGGGGGGGGTTCTTGCGTTTCAACACGGGCGATTCACAAAAGTGCGCCCCCATGAGTCTGCAACGCGTTGGCCAATCACAACGCGCGAAATTTGTCGACCCTTTCTGAACGCGCATTAGGTCGACAGATGCTTTTCTCATAATTACAGTCCACCCTATCTGTTATAATGAACGATTCACATGTTTTCCTTGGACCAAGCAAGCTTGTGTGTCAATAGCTGCAAAACTGTATTTCCTTTGAGATGCTGTTTTCTCTGCCTCACAGGGACACTGATACTGCCGTATGGGATTGGTCCGCAGAAAACATGGTTAAGCATTGGTTTCTATATGTCTTCACCCCCCCCCCGAACGGAAATGGTGGTAACCTGCAGACCCCATTCACGGCCCATTGAGGACAGAAAAGCAGATGGCCACTGTTCGGCCACCTATGTAAAATCTGCTTCTCCGGTATCACAAAAGCTGAAAACTTGAATTCACGGTTGTCGCCAAAACGTTCAATCCACTTTCCTGCTTGTTTGACAGGCAAAAAGCAGATCGAAACTTTTCGGCCGTCATCAAAAAGAGGAAAGTAAAAACTACTTTTGTCGTAGCAGAAAAGCAGAAAAGTGGAAATATGCATTACAATAAAATGATCATTCTGCTTTTGAGGTAGCAGAAAAGTAGAAAAGTCAAAAATTGCATGTTACGAAGACGTAAAATCAGCTTTTCTACTATCCTGATAACAGAAAAGCAGATGACCACTTTTCGTCCTCCACAAGGAAGGTTCCGTTATATCTAAATACATGTACATAAACAGGCCTAGTCTTGGTTTCAAGTTGTTGTGGACGTTTGCGATAACCCACACCGCGAGAGGGCGCTATCGTGACGAAGTACACTGTACACAATGGTCGAGACTGGCCATTCATTATTATTTATTCATTCATGCCAATTCTTTTTCATCACATATTAGATGGGCATAGGAGAGGCAAAAGCAATAACAATCACTGTGGCCAAAGACCTGCCACTCCATTTAATCCATTTAATAGTGACCGTTGATCGTTTTTCCCGGCACACTGTTCACAAAATCAAAATATACTAATGGTTGACCAATAAAGGTTCTCCAACTTGCCCCTGGGTACGCTGGTACGGTACACGGTGTCCCTGATCGTTCGGAGCATCATTCAGGTGCTCTCGTGGCCGTGGTACGGGTAGCGGGATTGTGTGTATATTAAAGCAACGTCTCGAAGCTAAGACTAGCATGATGTTGACGGGTCAACGCCATTCGGTTTTTGAAGCAAGGAAGCTTAGGTAGGTTTTGTGTGTTTTATATGTCGGAAAGAGTTCCATGCCTAGATATCACTTGAACCCCTTGTACAAACCAGAGGAAGCGTTCCATACTCGGACATAGGTTAGTTCCGTAAACATGGTAAAGCCAGGCATCACTCAGACATGTCACTTGTCAGACACGTCAGAAAGCTGTCTTACTCAGTCGGTGTGTTACGCCCCAACTATAGTTGGGACAGTCCCAACTAGTGCTGCAGTTGGGCTGGCCCAACTATTGTTGACCAATGCCTGTGGGAAATGTCTCGACATTATCCAAGTCAATGTGTTTCACACTTGACACAAATTCATCAAAAATGTGGCACTTAGCCCTATGACCAATGACATGACAATTGTAAACAATATGACTTCGGCACATGCTGTGCACATCATGCACACAGGACCTCTCTGCTGTAGTTGGGCCGGCCCAACTGTAGCACTCTAGTTGGGACGGGCCCAACTATAGTTGGGACTGATGCTATAGTTGGGGCGTAACGTGTTACGGCTAGACCTGGAGGAGAAAAAAACACTCCTCCAGGTCTATGGTCAGTGCTAGTGGTAGTAGGCTTACTAGTGTACTTTCATAGTACAAGCTCTATTGACATAATGTACTTACTGAATCCAAAATTTGAAAAAGAGGAAAACTATTGATCCACTAACATGACTAAGTCATGTAAGTAGAGCTAGCGTAGTACATGATACATCATGTAGGCATAGTAGGCCGAGACAAAAATAAAAAAGTCAACCTATACACAGCATGAGCACTGCATTTATGTTACTACTAAAATACTAGATCTAAGGTCGTACCCAGAACTTGGCTCCATACTTTACAAGGCCAGTCCACTGGACATGCTGAAACGTGTTCCCCTCCTTCCTCCATGGTTGAACATAGGCGTACATGTAGTTTAAAGTTTTCAGACCAGTCTCGTACACTTGCAAGTTTTGTGTGCACAAGTCGTCAAGTGATGTCCATGTATGGAACTTTAATCTCTCCCAAATGAGTAGGCGTATGAGGGTTTGTGACTGGTCTGAAAAATTTTTCTCAGACTTTTTGAACATGTAAATTTGTAATAGGGCCTAGGTCCTGTGCCATAAAATGTGAGGGAAGAATTTCATACCAACATCAGACCCTACTACCTGACTAGTACATGTACCAATGTTATTGACCATGTTGACACTGTTATGCACTATACATTATAGTTACGACATCCCAGCTACTTCCTGACAATGCCTAACTACAACTAGACTCGAGAGACTTCAGGGTTAGTCTTTTACTTTGTTTTTGTGTAGTGAAGTGGATTGCATTTACAAATACCACATATTATTCCCTGCAGTGGCGTAGTATTAACTTTATGACAGCACTAAAATGTCCTGAAATGTCAAATTTAGCAGTGACAATATTGAGGTATTTTTATTTAAAAAACATTCTGAATTTTTAAAGACCAGTCTCATATTGTACATAGGGTGTCAAGCGCCATCCATATGGGATTCTCTCTGAGGGTATCCAATTGTATGTATAGCGCTGCAGTTGGGCTGGCTT